CTCTCTCTCTCTCTCTCTCTCTCTCTCTCTCTCTCTCTCTCTCTCTCTCCCCCCTTGAGAATCTTGACTCTGAATACATCCGCTGCTACTCAGCTTTATCCCTACTACTCACTTATGCGGCTATGGCCACCTTCCCTCTCAGTGCAGCACTGCCCAGCAGGGCTCTCGCGCGCATGCTACTCGCAGATAGTGCACAAGTGCTTCAGCAGCACTTCCACACCTCTCACGAATGAGCAATCTCCCCGAAATGTGGGTGGCCAGTCCTTATATTGACTTGGACTGAGTCTCAACTCGTCCCAGTTCTGCTTCTTTTGGCTTGACTTGGACCCGGTACCACATGCCCACGGCCTGCTTGCTTCAGAATGTCAAGGCCTGGTACTTTTCCCGAATTTTCATTGGTGTACTGCTGCTTGAGTCTGTGCGTCACGACTTTTCATCTGTGGAACATGACTCTAACTGTGGGTTGTGACTCTTGCCTCTGGGACACGACTTTTGCCTGGAGAAGTGTCCTTTGCCTGTAGGACATGACTTTTCAATATGAGACATGACTTTTGCTTACCGAACGCAACTTTTGCCTTTGGGATGTGACTGTTTGCCGGGTGCCTGTTGGACTTGACTCCTAAAGGTACCGGACTGTGACCTTTCTGAACTGGCCAACTTGGCCTCCCTTGGCTTGAGACCTTGACCCTGAAGTTCGAATTTAGGGTCTGCATCGTGGAATGCCTTTCACAAGTCGAGTTCTATAACCAATTTAGGGGTAAGATTTAGATCCGGGGGCACAGGACAGAGAAGAGGACAGAAAACTAACGCGTAGTTTAGGGGTACGATCGGGATGCAAGGGCACAGGACAGAGAAGAGGACAGAAAACTAACCCGTAACGCAAGTCGAGTTTCATAACCAGTTTAGGGGTAAGATTAGGATCCCTCACATCTGCCGTATACACAATGTCCCTTGGTGAGCACTCAACCTTAGCATCACCGCCATCCTGTGTTTCCGCCCTGGCACAACAAGAGCATGTGCGCATCCAGACCAGAAAAGTAAGAATTCAGTTTGTAACAAAAGTCATGGCAATACAATGACATCGGTCGCATTCACAAGGTGACTCGACTTGTCACAAGTTCATTTGGCAAGAATCGAAGGGGGGTGAAGATGACACAGATGAGGCTTTCAGGCGTCTGCTAATGTCTTCACCCGGACAAAACGCCCGGCCATTATAGCTGCATTTGGGGCAACTGTGAGGATTGAGCCCTCAAGAAGGGGCCTTGCCATGATGTACATGTTCTGGGCTAAGGCCCCAGCTAGCCTAGTGCCCGCCCTAAGTGAAGGCGGGCCAGCAAATCAACAAGAGCCCTCTGTGCAAACATTTCCCGAAGTGGGGTCCGTACAGTTGCAGCACGCCAGTTGGTTGGAGTGCACTGAGTCTCGAATCTCTGCAAATGTGGAGATCCCAGGGCCTCTGAGTTAGTTAGGCCCTGGGCACTTGAACGTGAGGCCGACAATGCATGCTGGGTATAGAGGCCGAAAATGCCGAAGGGAAATCGGCCCACCATCTGAATCTGGCCGCAGGCCTTGACGAAAGAGGCGCAACTGCATCACCCGGGCCCCAACTGCATCGGGGCTGGGTTCAGGCACTGGGGCCCAGTGGCAGGCTGAAGGGAGGCCGCCCACACGCAGCACTGGCATATAGGCAAGCAGGGCGAGTGGGCAGGGATCCTTGGCCGTTGCGGGCAATGCTGGCACGCTGTGCTAATGCGAGCTGCTGTGCTGCTGCGCTGCGCTAGGACRAGGTGCAAGGCAGGCAGGCGCTAGGCAGTAGGGCGCTGCCTGTGCACTGTGCGCTGGCGGCCATAGCCGGGTTGCATAGGGCGCAGGGGAGGTGAGGGCGAAGGTGGTTCTTCGGAGGTGAAGGGCGCTGTGTGGGTAACAAGGGAGAGTGTGGGTGAAGAGGACACGTACCTGGTGGAGGTGGAGGTCGGCATTGGTGTTGACATCATCACTCACTGGCAGTCAAGTTGTCTGGTTGCTTTCATTGCTGTAGTTGTAGGCTAGGCTGTAGAGTAGATAGGGCCCCTGGCGCCATTCACAAGAGAGAGCTACATTGGGTTATGCTGTTGGTGTTGCCCTGTTGGGCTTGGACATTGACTCACGATTCTTCTGTATCATTCTCAAATGGATGGTTACTCGGTTCCATTGTGCTATCTGCTCTGGCTTTGACTACTTGGACTTCAGCGTGATTTTGCAATCTGGATTTCTGTGCTTCGTCCATATTCATGTTCCTTGCAATTTGGTATCAGAGCTGGTTTGATTCGCCACTTACCTTTGGCACGCTGGCGTTATACAGACTTGGTGCGTTGACGATGCGTCTTCGCAGTTGGTACTTGTGACGTCAGGCCACATAGGCGCACACCCTGGGTAGAGAGGGGTGCGCCGGGAGGCTAAGACGGCAGTATATGCCGTGGTGACATGCGGAATGTATGATTGGTGATGAGAGCATGCTGATGTGGCATTCGGCTGAGGTGGCACTGCATTGCGTTGTGGGTGGTACCGAGGCCAAGACCGGTCATCAAATGCACACTCAGCTCAATTGGTGAGAAATCTGTGGTTGGGGGCAGCTATCTCCAGGTACGTTGTTCCCTTACCTTATCTACTCTCTCAATCTCTTCTTGCCGTGAGGAAGTGAGTCCAACTTGAGAGTTCTCTCTTTTGGTGAGGTGTCGTGAGCGCGCTACCTTGAGAGACGACAATCTTCCCGGAAGCATCTGGAAGGAGAAAGGGCGGTGCCTCTGAA